TGAGGCCTCCATGGAGTATGAGCTCATTGCAGAGAAATGCAAGTTACAGTGCTACTCTTGGGTTTTGAACCAGAACACCAAATGGTAGTTCCGCTTCTCTAGAAATGACAGCTTTGAGTTTACGTCATAACTCTTTCTGAGTCAGAATTAAGTCATTTTCAAATCCCACATCAAATTTGGTTTAAAAGATGTGATTCTTTGTAAATTCCTTGCTTCTTCTTAAGCAAAGCTATATCACAGATTCTTGATTAGCTAGTATTTTTTATGTTGGAAGTTTGAAATATGTGGATGTGTCATGACAAGAATCTCAGGAGCTATTTAATTCAGATCTAAACTTAGCAGAATCTTTGATACTAAACAGTTGTGTCTCCTTTTGCAAAAGGCTCAGATATCTGAGGACTTGAAATACATTATTGATAAGAGCACTGGAGACAGTGGCGTTGCATATCGGTTCTCCCTTTCTGGGCTTTTCTACTGTGGCACCATTTTCAACATCTTCCTCAGTGCAAAATTTAAGGTATAACACTTACTTGAGAATTTGACTCCTGTGCCACAGAATGAAGACTAATCTGAACATTCCCTTACCTCCTCTAAGTAAATTAAGGAAATGAAATTTATATTATTTCACTTTACATAATATCCTCCAAGTTTAGATATGTTGTAATATGTGACCGAATTTCCTTCTTTTAACAGACTCAATAGTATTCCGTTGTGTGTATATACCACATTTCTTATTCCTGTGCTTATTCCCTCTGGTTTTCATTACTTCATTTAAGTGATGGGTTCCAGACCATTCCAGTACCATAAGAAGAAAGAATATGTTTGTCTATTATTCTTGAACATTGGACTTTGGCTTAACACAGATACTAATGTTTGAAATTATTTTCACTTAAGATATCATGGTTCTGATTTTTAGTTACAAGTTCTGGGGATTCTTCCAATTTCTTCATCTCCATTTTACTAGTTCTCTAATTCAGTTGTGACTGCCTTACTTAGATTCTCAAGAAATAAAGCATGATTGATGTACCAGTCAAATGAATACAGCATTCCTACGTAGGGCTTCTGTGCTTCTGCTCTGGGCTTCCAGCCTAGTAATCTAGACCGGATAACACATAAACTTCAAGGACCTCATCTTACCCCCAACTTTTATCTTAGGCCAAGTCACAAGGTCTATCTCTTCCCTCCTGAATGCCAACCAGGCTTTTTGGGGTGCTGCTGAGCCAAAGTCCTTTTAATTAAAAGGTACATCTAATCTAAACCCTCTCAGCGACAACAGAGCTCTAAATGAGGGGAATAAAATGTTGACCACATTGCAGGGCCATTGTGTGTAGATGTACAGGTCGTGCCCTGATGTGGGGCTCTGTGGCTCTGTCCACTCAGAGGAAGGAGCATATTATTTCTTACATCAAGCTGGAGGCTCGACAAGCTGTACACCCCTCTGTCTGTATCCTCCCCAAAGTGGTACCTTTTCCTAATTCCTGTAAAGTTGTGCTAGCAGAGGTCCTGTTCTTTTGATTTTTAAAAATTGAGGTGAAATTCACATAACCTACAATTAACCATTTTCAAGTGTGTAACTGAGTGACGTATAGTATGTTCATAATGTTGTGCAACATCGTCTCTTTCTAGTTTCAAAAACTTTTCCATCATCCCAGAGGAACGCCCCCATGACCTTTAAGCAATCACTTCCCATACCCCTCTATCCCCAGTCACTGGCTCACCACTTTGATTTAACGATGAAAGATTTTATCCCTTGGAATGAAAGCCTCACTATGTGTCTTTTATTTAATACTTGCTTCATCTAGAACTCTCTCTGAAAATTAGAATAAGAATGGTGATAGTATACAGCCAACATCACATTCATTTATATCTATCCTTGCAGTGAACATTTATTTTCTGCTTCACAATACCTAAGAAGATTATACAGATATTATAAAAACATCAGTTTATACTCCCTTTCACCATTTTTCGAAGTATATTTTGAGGAGTATTGGTGTTACAGGGTGTTAACAGGTAATATAAAAATAGAGTTTTCTGGCTAAGTTAGTTTGGGAGTGATGGTTATAGAGTTCTCTTCCTTCCTTCCTTCCTTCCTTCCTTCCTTCCTTCCTTCCTTCCTTCCTTCCTTCCTTCCTTCCTTCCTTCTTTTTTTCTCTGTCTTTCTTTTCTTTTTCTTTTCTTTCTTTCTTTCTTTCTTTCTTTCTTTCTTTCTTTGCTGCTCTTTGTTTCTTTTCTTTCTTTCTCTCTCTCTTTCTCTCTCTCCTTCCTTCCTTCCTTCCTTCTTCCTTCTTCCTTTCTTTCTTTCTTTCTTTCTTTCTTTCTTTCTTTCTTTCTTTCTTTCTTTCTTTCTTTCTTTCTTTCTCTCTTTCTTTCTCTCTTTCTTTCTCTCTCCCTCTCTCTCTCTCTTTTCCTTCCTTCCTTCCTTCCTTCCCTTCCTTCCTTCCTTCCTTCCTTCCTTCCTTCCTTCCTTCCTTCTTTCCTTCCTTCTTTCTTTCTTTCTTTTGAGACAGACTCTCACTCTGTCACCCAGGCTGTAGTGTAGTGGTGTAATCTTGTTTCACTGCCACCTCTACCTCCTGGATTCAAGTGATTCTCCTGCTTCAGGCTGTGAGACCACAGGTGCCCACCATGACGCCTGGCTAATTTTTGTAGTTTTAGTAGAGACGAGGTTTTGCCATGTTTGCCATGCTGGTCTCGAACTTGTGACCTCAGGTGATCCACCTGCCTCAGCCTCCAAAAGTGCTGGGATGATAGGTGTGAGCCACTGAGCCCGGCCACTGGTTATAGAGCTTTCTTTATTGCAGGGTATCTCAGTCCGTTTAATATTCCAAGGTGGCTTTATAAACTTGCAAGATGGTGATAATGCATACAACATTATTTAACCACTGTATATTTTTTCCTCTTTGGGCATCTGAAGCGATTACTGGTCAATGTGTTGCCTGTTTAGGAAATTATCTACTCTCTTATGCCTGGAAGGGATGTTGTCGGTAATGACTCAGTTCTCTCATTTTCCAAATTAGAAATAGGTACCCAGGCAAGCGAAGGGACTTGCTCAAGGATTCATGGATAGCTGGTTACAAAGCTGGGACTAGAACTCAGGAGTCTGTATTTGCTTTTTGTTCTTCCTTTTCTAGAAGGAAAAAAAAACACACTCAAATGTTCTTTCTGTTTTCTCACTCAACAACAATCAACATAGAAGATTTCTTTTTTTTTTCTTTTCTTTTCTTTCTTTTCTTTTTTTTCTTTTTCTTTTTTTTTTTTTTTTGAGACGGAGTTTCGCTCTGTTGCCCAGTCTGGAGTGCAGTGGCGCGATCTCGGCTCACTGCAAGCTTCAACCCCCCGGGTTCATGCCGTTCTCCTGCCTCAGCCTCCTGAGTAGCTGGGACTACAGGCGCCCGCCACCACGCCCTATCACCAGGTAAATAGCGTTAGAATGGAATTGGAGTGGAGAACACGCAGCTGGTATCTGCTGCATCATTTATTTCCTTGCTTATTGATGGGGAGAAATTTGGCCTGTGGCCTAATGTGTTCTCCAATTCCATTCTAATGCTGTTTACCTGGCGATAGCATCAGGTTTTACAGGGTGAGGGCTCAGTCCCGTAAGACTGCCCCCTACTTCCAGTGCCAAGCACACAAGCTCCAGGTTGTTTTGCCTGTGCTTCCGACCGACCAGCCATAAGTTGGGAATTCCACGACCCCCTCCTTAAGTTTGATGAGTGTGCTAGAGCGGCTCCCAGGACTCAGGGAAACATTTAGTTTATTGGTTTATGATAAAGACCATTACAAAAGGTACAGAAGAAGAGAGGCATAGGGTAAGGTGTGGGGGAAGGGGTATGAGGAGCTTTCATAACCTCTCTGGGAACAGCACATTCCAGGAACCTCCACACATTCAGCTCTCTGGAAGCTCCTCAAATTCCGTGGTTTTTTTTTTTTTTTTTTGACGTTCTATGGAGACTTCAGTGGATGGGCATGATGGACAACCATTAGAAACGTGATTGGACAAAAAGAGTATGATGTAATGTTAGTAGAGTGAGTGGTGAAACCCGGTAAGGCCTGTCTGTTCAGATCCTTCTTGGTCACTCTGTGCAGCCTTCCTTCCTCCAGGGCACGGGGCAGAACCTCTTCTGAAATGGGGATCTTAAGACCTACAAGCAGACAAGGAAGGTAGGAGAATATCTTGACGGCCAGTGCCAAGAACAATGGGGGAAGATTCTTGCCTTGAGGAGTAAAAGGGGCAGGTGAAAAGAGGGCAGGAGAAGGCCAGAGCGAGAGAGAGCAAAAGAGCGCGCGCGCGCGAGAGAGAGAGAGAGAGAGAGAGAGGAGGGGGGGGGGGGGGGGGGGAGAGAGAGAGAGAGAGAGAGATTCTGTTTTCTGAGGTCTGCTTCTGAAGTCTAAAGTGCCCTAACATCATAAAAAGGGCTATGGGAGTTATGAGTCTAGGACCTTGAATAAAATGTGTATGTTTGTTATGTGCTATTACTCTATAATCTTGTGTTTGTATTCTTTCACAATTTTTATTGTGTTTTTGTGTATCATAGATGATAGAAATAATTGTACACAACCTCATATATGAATGAATGAATGGACAAATGAATAGATTTGACAGAACCTCAAGAAGCTGAATAACATGAAATTCCTTTTTATAAAATCAGTCTATTGGAATACCCAGCCCACCACTTAGCACATGTGAGAACCTTAGGACACAGTTCCTAAATGCTGTCATGTTCCTTTAATCATATGTCTTAGCTGCAAAATATTGGACCATTTAACGGTAAAACAAAAGAAAATTACTTTTAAAGATCATCATTAAAAGCAAAAATACAGAAAAACCATAGTGCCATGTCATGTTGATGTTTTGAAAAATCCCAGTACCCCAATATCTGTGGCAAATTTCAAAGCAAAGAAAGTTCTAACGACTTCATCATTGAAAACCTTTATTAAATTTAAGTCCCAATAACTGTTGAAATATTTCGGATGATATTTATAGTAAAATATTATCTAACTCTTTTCACATTGTAGGACTTTGGCTGACATCCAGGTCTAGGAAAAAAATTTAGTCTTCCATTGTAAATGAATTTACATCCTAGAGAATTTATGTGGCTGTGTGATGAGAGGTTGCAAGTCCAGTGATAGGTGCTGGAGTTCAGAAGATCGTTAGGATTCTAATTTGGCTAGTTTTAAAGTGCCATCTTATTAGGATTCCCAGCAGAAGGAGGTTTTCAACAAGTGGGCTCACAGGAGTAGCAGCAGCAGACTGGGCGGCAGCAGGACTGTCCACAGTAGGACGGGCGGCAGCAGGAGGCCTCGGCGTGGTGCAGCTGGCAGCAGGATGGGGGTGTGCAGCTCACCACACAGCAGGGGGGCAGGTAGGTGCCCTCCACACGGCAGTCTGGGCGGCACCACCTGATACGGGTGCTCACAGCTCCACCGCTGCCTTCCTGGCCATAGCTGATGCCACCACCAATGCCATAGCTGGTTCCGCAGGAGCTGGTCTGGCAGCAGCTTGGCTGACAGCAGCTGGTCTCACAGCAGCTTGGCTGGCAGCAGCTAGTTTCACAGCAGCTTGGCTGGCAGCAGCTGGAGCCACAAGTCCCACTGGTTGAGAAGCTGGGAAACCCACAGAAGCTGGTCTGGCAGCAGCTTGGCTGGCAGCAGCTGGTCTCACAGCAGCGTGGCTGGCAGCAGCTGGTCTCACAGCAGCTTGGCTGGCAGCAGCTGGAGCCGCAGGTCCCACTGGTGGAGCAGCTGGGAAATCCGCAGAAGCTGGTCTGACAGCAGGCCATGGTGTCAGGAGTTGGTCTGAAGTTTGGGTTGCTTGGAGGAGTTTCTGAGTTGTGGCTGCCTATTCCACCTCGGGCTTTTTATAAGTCTTGACCAATTCCTCTATCTGTGGCGAGCAACATTTTTATCTTGTTACTCTTTAAACCAGCCTTTCTAGGGCCCTCTGATGGTTCAAATGCTGAATTGTTTTAAATATATCTTGAAATTGATTTTTCCTTATTGCTCAGCTAATACTCACCAAATGTGTTTGTCCTTGGTAAAAATGTTAACATTTTGTTTTCAAACAATGGTGTAATTTCTACTTGAGCTTCAGCTTCAGTTTTGCACTTGTGGGCATATCATCTGACAAGGTGACTCTCACCCGTAAGATGATGTGATTTTGGGGATTGTATTCACCAAACTTCAAGTCTCCAGAAAAGAATTATGAATCATGACTGTCCTTATGTAAGACTGCTTTATATTTTTAGACTAGTAAGATTATACTCTCTCTCTATAATCTTATTAGCCAGATAGAAATTCTGATAAACTCTACATTCATAGAAATTCATAGATTTTTCACTGAAATGAAATCTTTCCAATTTCTGTGATATCTCCTGAACTTCACATTCATATCTGAGGAAACATTGATCACTCAGGAGGATATATAAAACAAAACCTGTTCAATTCCAATGTCCCTTAAAAGAGAGGCTAAAATTCATATTCAGTAATTGGAAAAAGATTGCAAAATATTTTAATGAAATTTATACTTCTCTATGAAAGACAAAAATCACCGGTATATAGATTATCTGGCATATAATTTCTCAAAGGCAGAATTTATTTTTAATTTATGTCATTTCACATTACTAAACTATGTGTCCTGTGAAAAGATATTAGACCAAAGAGCATGACAACTGAATTTAGGAAGGGAAATCAATCAAAGAAAAAGCAAGTGTTAGAAAATACTTTTTTCTGCTTTATAAGGCAGGTTAGAAAATGGGTGACCAAATATAGTTCAAGAGGTATAGTATAATAAATGCAAAGAGATTAAGATAAATTTCGACAAAATAAAAGTTAAAACAATTCCTGGCCATTACTAGAAGAAAGAATGTGATAAAATATTTTCTACTGGGAGTTTAGGGTTACATAACATACATGAAAAAAGTCTGGACAAAAACATATTATTTCTACTTGGGGTAGGTTTATTTCTCCCTTCCCATCATGAATAGAAACACATAGTTAGCATTTTATGAGGTGGTGGTGTTTGTACAGGAATAGGGTTATATTACAATGTGATTCATGCCAGCATCAGTAAAGATGTTCATGTCATATGGTAACTATGACTGTAGGTATGACATTGAAAATGGTTATATGTAATCACTGAACGTTGGAGATCAAAAATGTGTAAATTATCTTTTTCCACCACTTAATTTTATAGGTGTAGAAACTGACATCATTCTTATTGTAAATAGCACATATTTATTAACTTCTACTATGCCCGGAGCACTAAAGGCTTATACAGAAAGCAGGTCCCCATCTGTTTGTTTCATATCTTGCTCTAGTATAAAAATCAGTGTAGTAGTAACAGGAGGGATTAATCAAGGAAAAGAGTTGAGTAAAGAACTGTTTAGTCTCAAAGTTCTAAATGGGAACATTGGTGGTGTGGTATGGAGCACTTTTCATTTTCACTTAACATTAGTTGGTGTTAGAATACTCTTGAGTCTTGGAGAGGTTAAGCGACTTGTTCCATTCCCACAGTATACAACTAGAAGAGCTGGGTATAAAACTCCTATCACTGATTACTAGACCAGTTCTTTTTATTTTATACCATACTACTTTTCAGAATCAATTAATGTTAGTAAAGCTCTCTGTATTTGTCTTTTTTTCTTAAAAAAGGTATTTTGTAATAGCTCAAGAATATAAATATTAGATGGTAGATGACACTATGGACTAGCAATTTTAAATACACAATAAATAAGTATAAATATGTTAGAGTTCTTTTAAGTATCTGGACCAGAGACTTTTTAAAAAAAATTATTATTATACTTTAAGTTCTAGGGTACATGTGCACAATATGCAGGTTTGTTACATATGTATACATGTGCCATGTTGGTGTACTGCACCCATTAACTCGTCATTTACATTAGGTATATCTCCTAATGCTATCCCTCCCCCCTCCCCCCTCCCCCCTCCCCCCTCCCCACAATAGGCCCCGGTGTGGACCAGAGACTTATAATTGGAATAAATCACATTTGCTTCCTAGTCGTTTTTTGTTTCCCACATTCAACTAAGTTAATATACTTTCTGGGTTTCTACATCTGCCATACTCATTGTGTCTTCTTTATTCCATGGGTATTATCTTAGTTGACTTCTTATTGTACATCGCTTGGACCAGGGCAATATCTTCCTGATTAGTTTCTGTATAGTTCTGTGCAACTTATTTCTCTGGTCTTTGACCTCTGTCTTTATAAGGTGCTATCATGAGAATTGTCCCAATGCCCAGCTCTTGTTATGCCATTTTCCTGCCCCAAAGCTTTCAACAGCTCCTTACTGCTTATTGCATTAAGGGTGTACTCCCTTGTCTAGTATTCAAAGCATACAAATTTTCCAAATCTTTCTTTCACTAGCACTCTCTATATATCCAGTGCCCCCAGCCAAACTGTACTCTGAACAATGCTATGGTTCCCCTCCCTCCATACCTTTGCTCATACTATTTCTATTGCTACGAATGCCATCCCTCTGATCTGGGTAGCACAATCTGAACCCATATAAAATGTTAGCTTCTCTTTTCAATCTTTCTTTTTTTCCCCAATAGTGACTTCTGTGTTGACACCACACAGTGTTGTACTTTTATTTTTTCATATTCTACTTTTTAGATGAATTATAGGTGAATATGACTCATGTCCCTAGAAGCTTTTTGAAGAGGGGAACATTTTTAATTCAATTTTAATTTCGATTTTATACCATGTAGCCTGTGACTTGCATATGGTAGGCAAACAGTGCATTTAGACCCTATTTGTCAACGTATTTAAAAACAACCCAAAATGGATTAAATACTTAAATATAAGACCGCAAATAATAAAACTACTAGAAGAAAACATACAGGAAGCATTTTATGGCACTGGTCTGGGCAATGGTTTTTTTCTTGGAGGGCTAAGACCTCAAAGGCACAGGCAACAAAAGTGAAGGTAGACAAATGGGATTATATAAAAGTAAAAACCTTCTGCACAGCAAAGGAAATAATCAAATCAACAGAGTGAAGAGACAACCTAGAGAATGGGAGAAAATATTTTCAAACTATGCATCTGACCAGGGGTTAATATCCAGAATATATAAGGAACTTGAACAACTCAACAGTGAATAACGATAATAAATCCAATTAAAAATAGGTAAAAGACCTGAATAGATATTTCACAAAAGAAAACACACAAATGGCCAACACATATATGAAGAAGTGCTCAGCATCACTAATCATCATGAAATGCAGATCAAAACCACAATGAGATACCATATCACCCCAATTAGAATGGCTATTATCAAAAATACAAAAAAGTAACAAATCCTGGTGTGGATGTGGTAAAAGGGGAGCTCATACAAGGTTGGAGGGAATGTAAAGTAGCTAGCCATTATGGAAAATAGTATGGAGGGTCCCCCAAAAATAGAACTACCATATGATCCAGCAATCCCATTATTGAGTATATGTCCAAAAGAAATGAAATCAGTATGTTGAGGAGATATCTGCACTTCCATGTTTGTTGCAGCACTATTCACAGCAGCCAACATATGAAAACAATCTAAGTGTCCATCAATGGATGAATGGATAGAGAAAATATGACACACACTCTCACACATACACAATGAAAACTATCAGCCATAAAAACAATGAAATACTGTCATGTGCAACAACATGGATGAACTTGGAGGACATTATGGTAAGTGAAATTAACCAGGCACAGGAAGACAAACAGCACATTCTCTCACTGCTATGTGAAATCTAAAGAAGTTAATCTCATAGAAGTAGAGAGTAGAATACTGGCTACCAGAGGCTGGGGAGAGTGAGAGGAGGGGAGGATAAGCAGAGATTGGTCAACAGGTACAAAGTTACAGATAGATAGGAGGGATAAGTGTTGGTATTCTAATGTACAGTAGGATGACTATGGTTAGTAATATTGTATCGTATATTTCAAAATAGCTAACAGAGAAGATTTTAAATGCTCTTACCATGAAGAAATGATAAATGTATGAGGTGATGAATATGCTAAACACCCTGACTTGATTATTACAAAATGTATACATGTATGGAAACATCACACTGCACCCCATAAACATGTACAATTATGTGTCAGTTTTTTAAATTAAAAGTTAATTTAATACAAAACATTAGAATGAGTAAATAAAACCAAAGTTTTTGCAAGACCAAAGAACAGATATTTATTAGAAAATAAACATGCCACAAAATCTTAGACAGGAAGAAGGAAATTGCTTCCTTTACAAAGACTTCAGAAGGGCCCAGGTCTTCATGATGAGCCCGGTTCTCGGTTCCCAGCTTGGTTGATGTGGGGTCTTGCGGGCTCAGGGCAGGAGGTTTGTTAAAGTAGAGAAACGGGAGTGTGACTTTTTCAGAAGGTGAGTTGCATGTTCCGGGCAGTCAGTGCCCTGCTCAGCAGGAGAAGGTCCTGCAGGTGGTGCTGCAAGGCGTCGGCTGGCCGCAGGGGGGCCGGCAGCAGGGGGACTGCACAGACACAGGCTGGCAGCAGGTGGTGGCCCAGCAGCAGGGTCTGCAGACCACAGCCGTGCACGACGTGGGGCAGCAGGTGATGGGGCGGCAGCAGCCTTCCTGCAGGGAGCAGGGGTCGCAGCACACCGGGCGGCGGCAGGGCTCGCAGATGGGACGCGTGCAACGGGGCACGCAGGTCACGGGGCGGCACACGGTGGTCTGGCAGGTCACGGGGCGGCAACAGCAGGGGTCGCGGTAGCAGCAGGGCTGGCAGCAGCCTCCCCCATAGCTCAGGGAGGAGAAGGTGGAGCCGCAGCAGGAGCCGGTCATGGTGGTGTCTGAGGCTGGTGTGGGGTGGGCTGTTGAGAGGAGCTGGGTGTTCTCAGGTGTGAATGTCCTCCTCCCGCTCCCCGCCCTTTATATACCCTGGCCAGGGGCAGGTGATCCTTTTCGTTTACCTTTTGGCCAATTAAATAGAATTCTGTTTTGACTAATAGTTGTTTGTGACACACTCATTATCTCATTAAAGAGCTCTTGTTGCATCTCTAAGTATGGATGTACCTACACGGTGTGAAAATCTTAAGAACTCATCGTTGTTTGAGGTGATAGTAGCTCTCGATGCTTATTTTGAATAGATAACACTGGATCAAATCTGGACAAAATGCTCTAAAAAATTTTCAGTTTTTAAAAGAAATTATAAACATAGAGGAGTACATAGAACACTGAGTAGAGCCTATCCCGACCCCAGCAGGGGACTCAAGTCCTTGGAAGCACCTACATGTGAAAAGTGAATCACACGAGTGTTAGACAAGACCTCCCATGTGGTCTGCTTGGGAATATGTTTATCACTTGAAGTAGTGGGATACATAGGCCTTGAATAGGAGAGTAGCTCATCTAGTTTTACAGGATCGATAAAAATTTTTGCAAGCCACTAAGTATTGGAATAATACCTCCAAGACTGCCTTGCATGTTTTCTTTTCTCTAGTACATGGTTCTGTGCAACTCTGGTCCTTCTGGTCATAAGGTGCTGCTTTTTATCTCTGAAACATGTCATTTTTTAGCCTTGCCTTTCTTGTGCATGTAATGAAGAATTCTGTAATGGGAAATTTTTCTTAACATACCTTGACAGCCGGGCGCAGTGGCTCATGCCTGTAATCCCAACACTTGGGGAGGCTGAGGCAGGCAGATCACCTGAGCTCAGGAGTTCAAGACCGCCCTGGGCAATACGGTGAAACCTCAACTCTAATAAAATACAAAAAATTAGCCAGGTGTGGTGGTGGGTGCCTGTAGTCCTAGCTATGCAGGAGGCTGGGGAATGAGAATCACTTGAGCCCCAGAGGCGGAGGTTGCAGTGAGCCAAGATCATGCCACAGAACTCCAGCTTGAGCTACAAAGTGAGACTCCATCTCAAAAGGATATATACATGTATACCTTGACATAAGTGCTATGACTAGCAAGTGACAAGAAAGGGGTTTTCAACCAACATTGCACACATATCCAGTACACTGTTCAACGGAGACACGTTGGGAGGCTGCCCAGTGTTCTGCTGTGGCACTGCTAAAAGCGTGATGGACGGGCTCCTTCAGGAAATGTTGCCAGAGGCAGTTTAGGAACTGCAAAGGGAAGCAATCCCATTACCTTCCAGCTTTACTCCTCCTGTTAGTCACCAGACAGAGTTTTGAATCACTTCAGGATCATTTTCTTTATTTGAAAGAATGTGCCTTGGACCCCGACATCTTAAGCTCCCCAAAAGGAATCTCAAGCATAATTTCAAAACTTTAAGGGGAACGTAAATTGACTGAACCCATAGTCACAATTAGCGAAACAGAAGAAGGAGCTATCAGGCACAATCTCATCACTAGAGACCTTTGACTCTCTTGTTTTAGATTCCTTTCTTTGTTTATGGACATGGGATTTTTGTTTTTCAAAGCAGTAACCAGAGGTAACTAGGTAAAAAGTTGTATATTCTGCTCTTTTTGAGACATATTATCTCAATTTATTTTCATGCTGCTGTGGAGTCTTCATGGTAATCACATTTTATGCAATGGGAGCCTCTTTGGAAGACTTAAATCATCACATTAACAGGACTCATTTCTCTACTGCACAAACTTTGAACCCAAGTTCATTCCAAAGACATCTGTCTCTCCCCTTTGTAAAGATCCAAAAAAATAGTCTGTGTATCATTCAGTAAACCTTTCTAATGTTTATTCACTCTAAGACACTTATCCACACCCCATAGCCAAACTTAATTTGCAGGCAGAGAAATTATGGGTCATGCTTCAGTTATTCATGCCTCAGAGTTGTGAGAGCACAGACAGCTCTGCGGTTTGAAACTGGTGGCAAATCACATCCTATTTTCTGACCCCACTTATTCTGAAACTGGACAATGCTCATTTAAAGCTCTGCCACTTACTGGCTGTGTGTCCTTGGGCCATAATAATAGTTCATATCAGAATTGTTGTAAGGATTACATGAGCTAATATTTGTCAAGTGCTAAGAACAAACAGTGTCTGGTACTTAGTGTCTAAAATATATATATTTATATTATATTTTATTATATTTATATATATTATATTAATTTAAAATAAATATTTAAATATATAGTATATATACTAAATATATTTTAAATGTATAGTAAATATATATTTATACATATATACACATATAATAACATGACCTTTTACTATATATAGAGTAAATATATATGTACATATATACATGTATGTATATATGTACATATATACATGTATGTATATATATACATACACATATATATGTATAAGTATATAGTAAAAGGTCATGTTACGTTGGTACTTTTTAAATTCTAAACTTTAAGTTTAGAACAAAGACCAACATATTTTTTATGGCAAATGATCGGTTCTCTGCTCAGTCACCAAAGAATACGCATGAAATAACATTATTCAGTGGCGAGTTCCATTAATAGCATGAAATAAAATAAAAGCACCTGGAAGGAAGAAATAGAGCACCTTCTCATTGAGTACTTACCTCTGTTAAGGGAGTCAGGCTATTGTTGAGCTGACAGGCGGCACATCTGTCAGGACTGTGTATAACAACAAGACCCCTACTGAGAACCCCACAGCCCATGCAATACAGAATGGGGTCTTAGAGAAGCATCCTTAAAAAAAAAAAAAAGCCTTCAAATTGATTTAGACAGATTTCTTGTGGTGGTGGACAACAGATTTTGTGTAATAGACTCTAGAGCTTTATTTCACATTATCATTTAACAATAACATTATGAACAATTTTTTTTTTCATTATTTCAACTTTTCCTTTAGATTCAGGGGGTACATTGTGTGATGTACCAGTTTGTTATGTGGGTATATAGTGTGATGCTGAGGTTTGGGGTATGATTGATCCTGTCACCTAGGACTGAGTGTAATACCCAATAGTTTTTCAACCCTTGTCTCCCTCCCTCTCTCCCCGCTCTAGTAGTCCCCGAAGTCTATTGTTGCCATCATTAGGTCAATGAGTACCCGATGTTTAATTCCCATTTATCAGTGAGAACATATGGCATTTGGTTTTCTGTTCCTGGGTTAATTTGCTTAGGATAATGGCCCCCAGCTGAATCCATGTTACTGTGAAGGACATGAGTTCATTGTTTTTTATGGCTGAGTTGTACTCCGTGGTATATGTGTACCACATTTTCTCTATCCAGTCCACCACTGATGGGAACCTAGGTTGATTCCATGTCTTTGCTATTGTGAATTGTACTGTGACAAACATGCAAGTGCATGTGTCTTTTTGGTAGAATGATTTATTTTCTTTTGGCTACAGACCAAGTAAAGGGATTGCTGGGTCAAATGATAGTTCTATTTTAAGTTCTTGAGAAATCTCCACATTGCCTTCCATAGTGACTGAACTAATCTACATTCCCATCAACAGCATATAAGCATTCTCTCCTCTCGACAGCCTCGTAAGCATCTGTTGTTTTTTTACTATTTTTTTCTTTATTCTGAAAGTATGGGGCTTCAATTACTGAGCTTTTTAATAATAGCCATTCCGACTGGTGCAAGATGGTATCTCATTGTGGTTTTGATTTGCATTTCTTTGATGAATAATGATGTGGGGCATTTTTTCACATGTTTGTTGGCTGCTTGTATGTCTTGTTTTGAGAAGTGATTGTTCAAGTCCTTTGCCCACTTTTTAATGGAGTTGTTTGTTTTTTGCTTGTTCATTTGTTTAAGTTCCTTATAGATTCTGGATATTAGGCCTTTATTGGATGCACAGTTTGTGAATATTTTCTCTCATTCTGTAGGTTGTCTATTTACTGTGTTGATAGTTTCATTTACTGTGCAGAAACTCTTTAGTTTAATTAGGTCCCACTTGTCAATTTTTGTGTTTGTTGCAATTGCTTTTGAGGACTTAGTCATAAATTCTTTCTGAAGATTGACGCTCAGAATGATGTTTTATAGATTTTCTCCTAGGGTTTTTACAGTTTGAGGTCTTACATTTAAATCTTTAATCCATCTTGAGTTAATTTTTCTATATGGTGAAAGGTCGGGGTCTGATTTCAATCCTCTGCATAGAGCTAGCCACCTATCTGAGCACCACTTATCAAATAGGGAGTCCTATCCTCATAGCTTATTTTTGTTAATGTTATCAAAGATTAGATGTTGTATGAGTGTGGCTTCATTTCTGGGTTCTCTATTCTGTTCCTTTTGTCTATGCCACTTTATATTTTACAACCTTCTGTTTTTGTACCAGTACCATGCTGTTTTGTTTACTGTAGTCTTATAGCATAGTATGAAGTCAGGTAATGTGATGCCTCCAGATTTCTTTTTATTTAGGATTGCTTTGGCTATTTGGGCTCTTTTCAGTTCCATATGAATTTCAGAATAGTTTTTTTCTGGTTCTGTGAAAAATGAGATTGGTAGCTTGATAAAAACAGCATTGAATCTGTAGATTGCTTTGGGCAGTGTGGCCATTTTAATGACATTGATTCTTCCAATCCATTGGCATGGGATGTTTTTCCATTCGTTTGTGTCACCTATCATTTCTTTAAGTCGTGTTCTGTAATTTTCTCTGTAGAGATTTTTCACTTCCTTGGTTAGATGTATTCCTAGGGGGTGTGTGTATGTGTGTGTGGCTATTGAAGTGTAAAATAAAGTCGTAAAATATACAACCATTTTGTGATTAACATGTCTCTCACCATACTAAGAAGAAGTGTTTGACTTAAGGTCTAAATGCAGGACACATGCATTCTCCAGGGTCTTTTCTAAACTTTTGTGATTATAATTACATTAGTAAGTAAATAATTTACTCTTACATTACTCATGTTTCTTTAACTTTTGAAAGAGAGGTAATTGGCCAGAGGTTGCCTAAGGCTTCTTCCACCTCTAACACCCTGGGTATTCTATGATGTTCCAACAGGTGTTGGATCAGTAAACAGACCATTAGGCTGGGAATGTAAGTTTCAACCCAGGTGCAGCCTCCCAGGGTGTTCCTTGTTGCAGAACATTTCTCAGGTGTTCGATGCATGCCTGGAATTCTGGGCACAAGTGACTCTGTACACATGATAAAGACATAGTTGTGCTCATCTTCCTGACTCAGCTGTGCTCCACAAATGCCATTTACAATGATTATAAGAAAACTACTCAGACTTAAGTTATGAGAACTACGTAAGAGGATTATTCTGCATCTTGCTTTGAGTATCTCTAGACAAAAGAGGGATGCAATCTACCGGAAGGAAATATCACAAAGACCATGATTTCTATGCTAAGAATATTGAGTTTTATTAGAAAGCAGACAACATGATATGGAAGTTAGACTGGAGTCCTAGGAAGAGAGAGTATTTTTCATCTGTAATTGGTCTGAAAAGGTGTCTTCAGTGCATAGTGTGAGCTAGTATGAAGAAATGAGAAATGGGCTTCTCAAGGCAACGTGTATTGCTCTGCGGTGAAGCCCTGAGGGGCAGCGGGATGGTCCTGGCCATCTTCTGAAGGGCCCTTCGTGATAACGGGCTGCTCAGCAGGAGAAGGTCCTGCAGGTGGTGCTGCAAGGTGTTGGCTGGCCGCAGGGGGGCCGGCAGCAGGGGGACTGCACAGACACAGGCTGGCAGCAGGTGGTGGCCCAGCAGCAGGGTCTGCAGACCACAGCCGTGCACGACGTGGGGCAGCAGGTGATGGGGCGGCAGCAGCCTTCCTGCAGGGAGCAGGGGTCGCAGCACACCGGGCGGCGGCAGGGCTCACAGATGGGACGCGTGCAGCGGGGCACGCAGGTCACCGGGCGGCACACGGTGGTCTGGTAGGTCACGGGGCGGCAGCAGCAGGGGTCGCGGTAGCAGCAGGGCTGGCAGCAGCCTCCCCCGTAGCTCAGGGAGGAGAAGGTGGAGCCGCAGCAGGAGCCGGTCATGGTGGTGTCTGAGGCTGGTGTGGGGTGGGTTGTTGAGAGGAGCTGGGTGTTCTCAGGTGTGAATGTCCTCCTCCCGCTCCGGGCCCTTTATATACCCTGGCTGGGAGCTGATGACCCCCAGGACACGAGATCATTTCCTTGTTTTCACTTATTCTTCCTGAAATAACACCTGCAGATTAGTAAGTTTTCTAGACATTGTTTAGATACTCAGGTACACATAAAAGTCTATTTGTTTTCCTTATGTGGTGTAGACCCATTATATTTTGCTATTTATGGTTCAAATATGAATTTAATGACCCTAACTTCAAAGTCCCCAATTATCGTTATAATTCAATGATGCTTTTGCCAGTTACTGTTTTGATAGCACAAAGCAGCTGTCATGCTCTGCATGCTCTGAGGGTTACTTGCTAGCAGTTGAAGTGAAGTAAACCTCAAGTTGTTAGCATTCTTTCCCACTGCTAAGCTTCCTGGGCAAAACAAGTTGAGGATAATACTACAGGGATAGTTTAAAAGTCAGGATTTCTCAGTAAAAGAAGAATTTTCCAGTCCTCTTTTTGGAGGTACAAGAATGCATTTCAGTAGGTTTCCATCGTCTTAGAGATATGTTCATTGATTTCTACAGTTGTATCTTTCCAGACCAAGGTAAATTTCACTGTAATCTTCATGATAGCCAGTATCATTAAGTTCTAACTATGTTCCAAGCAGCATATTAAAAAATACACGTATTAATCTAATCTTCATAACATTCTTAGGATGTAGATACTGTTTATTTCTCATTTCACACATGAGGAACCAGATAAGTGACTTACCCAAGGTCATGTACCTAGTAAGTGTTGGAACCAATACTCACTCCAGAAATATCTGTGGGAACATTATTTGTCAGCCCAAAAAGCTGAAGAACTCACTGTAGCTAAAGAATGGATTGTAGGTACCACATTCCCAGATATTAAGGAATGTCTATTTTATTTAGGAACTTTTACAATGTATTTACTTTGAAAACAGTTGTTATTTGTGATATGGCTAATTTTTTAGAGTCAGCTGAAAGGACTCTATGTCTTACCAATAGCCTCAGGAATGGGAAGAATTACCTTCTATTCAGCCTTCTGAAAATGTCAAAACATACCCTAAGGAGATAGTGTCATAGTTGGGCATAATTGAATGATCATGGGGTATTGTGAACAAAGCCACCAAAATGGTGAGGAAGTCAAACAAGTCCATGTAGATGAAGGCTGCAGTCTTGCAGTATAATAAAACCCTTCAGTAGTGATCCCAGTTGAATGTGTTCTCAGGCCTCATCTGGCCCATACCTCAGTGTCTTCAACGTCTCCCTGTGTGCTATGCTGGGGCTCATTTCTGCTTATGGAACCAATTGTCATTTTTAATTGTTTCAAATTGTCATGACTTGTAGGCAAATTATGTCACTCAATCACATTTTAGTCTTTGCCTCTTAATTTGCTTGGTCCTGACCTTTTCCTTTACAACTAAGTCTGTTCTATTAGGTTGGTGCAAAAAGTAATTGCGGTTTTTGGCATTACTTTCAATGGCAAAAGCTGCAATTACTTTTGCACCAATCTAATAGATCTGAAGTTGAAGGTTCAAGTGTAGACGTTCTTATTGATCACACTTCTTGCATGGTTTCTTACAGGCTTACCCAGATCTGCACCAGCCACTTTGGCCAACCAGAGAATGGGGTGACTATGGAAATAAACGAGATTCAATAATAGCGATAACTTTCGGGGGAAACAAGGCATTCTCCATTTGAGAAAACACTTTTAAATAAGGAGGTCTCTAGAAGGCTAAAAAGAAAAGCTCCGAGAGGAGAAAAACAGATGTACTTAGCAAATTTTGAAAACACTGATCAAGATTATATACAAAGAGGCTGAGCGCGGTGGCTCACGCCTGTAATCCCAGCACTTTGGGAGGCTGTGGCGGGCACATCATGAGGTCAGGAGATCGAGACCATCCTGGTTAACATGGTGAAACCCCGTCTCTACTAAAAATACAAAAAATTAGCTGGGCATGATGGCGGGCACCTGTAGTCCCAACTACTCGCAAGGCTGAGGCAGAAGAATGGTGTGAACCCGGGAAGCGGAGCTTGCAGTGAGCAGAGATTGTGCCACTGCACTCCAACCTGGGCAACAGAGCAAGACTCCATCTCCAAAAAAAAAAAAAAAAAGAAAAAAAAAAGAATATATAGAAAGAAATTAGACTTACGAGCCTATCCATTGGTTAATTACCAAACGGTTAACAAAGATAAAACTCCATTGTACACATACTGAAAATGTAAAGGTTTTGAATATAACAGTCTTCTTGTTGAGAAACTTTTACCATATTTCCAGAAAAAAGATCTTTCTTCATGATTGGTTTATTGTTTTATTTTAAGAATATGCACATCCAGCATGATGAGTTGAGAGTTGGGATGGAATGATGATGTTTTTCTCTCTTCTAACCAATGCCCTTAGAACTTATTCATTCATCATTCAACACATCATTTTTGATTATACTCAGTGTGCCAAATATTGTGCAGGTCAGTGGGAATCTAGTAGTGAACAAAGTTAGTCATGATCCTGGCCCTCAATGTAAATTAGCTCAGCCATTGTGGCAAGCAGTTTGGCAATTTCTAAAAGTATTTAAAACAGAATTGGCATCCAACCCAGCAATTCCATTATTGGGTATGGACCCAGAGGAATAGAAGTCATTCTACCATAAAGACAATACATGCATACATCTGTTCAAAGTAGCAAAAATATGGAATCAACCTAAATACCCATTAAGGGTGGACTGGATAAAGAAAATATGGTACACATACATCACAGAATAGTACACAGCCATTAAAAAAGGAAGTTATGTCCTTTGTAACAATGTGGATGAAGCTGGAGGCCATTATCCTAAGCCAACTAATGCAGATACAGAAAACCAAATACCACATGTTTTCACTTATAAGTGGTATCTAAACATTGAATACATATGGACACAAAGAAGGGAACAACAGATACTGAGGCCTACTTGAGGGCGGATGGTGGGAAGAGGGTGAGGATGAAAAAACCACCTGTCTGTTACTATGCTTTTGTTTAATTTAATTAATTAATTAATTTTTTGAGATGGAGTCTCACTCTGTCACCCAGGCAGGAGTGCGGTGGTGCAATCTTGGCTCACCGGAGCCTCTGCCTCCCAGATTCAAGTGATTCTCCTGACTCAGCCTCCTGAGTAGCTTGGATTACAGGCGCATGCCACCATGCCCAGCTAATTTTTGTATATTTAGTAGAGACAGGGTTTCGCCATGTTGGCCAGGCTGGTCTTGAATTCCTGGCCTCAAGTGACCTACCCACCTCAGCCTCCCAAAGTGCTGGGATTACAGGCATGAGCCACTGCACCTGGCCATCTGTTACTATGCTTATTACCTGGGTGATGAAATAATCTGTATACCAAAACCCTGTGACACACAATTTACCTATATAACAAACCTGCACATGTACCCCTGAACTTAAAATAAATTTAAATTTAAAAAGATGAAGACCTCTGACCTCACAAAGCTTCCCTTGCCTCACTTTTCTCAATGGGCAGGTAGATATGCCCAGGAATACATGCCGAACAATGAAAGAAACCTCTTTTCTATCAGATGCTAGGAACTAAAAACATGTATCTCAGCGAAATGATAGTGGTTAGCCTTCCTTACCAACCTACAAGTATTTAACAGTATCAACAATATATGCAGTATGGATTAATGTTATCACCATTTCAACTGCATTGGTGGTGTTTAAATGCTAAGATGAATGTGGAGCTCAAAACCAGGATGATGACAACCAAGGCTTCATTTCTCCCTGTCTTCTCAGCAGCAGCCACTCCACTGGAAGTAGAACTGGCCGTGATGGTGCTGATGGGAACCATGGAGAATTTGGGATAGTGGTTCCTCCAGCATGGGATGTTCAGTGGCTAGGGATTCCCAGGTCCTCTTTGACATCAATTACTGCACAGTTTTCTACATTGGTGAACAAATGGGGCTGTAACTTAACTTAGACTTCCTCCCCCTTATCATGTGTGTGAATTATTCATAAGTCAAGTTTATGTTTACAGAGACCTACTGTAGTCTCACCATTTCCTCAGCATCACCATAAAACCTGCGACTAGAAATATGAAGGTGAATCACATGAGATGATCAGATTTATTTGACATGCTATTAAAATTATAGACCTTCCACCTGAGTTGTTCCTGTTCTAAGCTCAAAAATGACCCTTAGAAAATCCTTCCTTTCGTTCTGATTCCGTATGCTGTAATGTAAGCTAAATATGAGCTTTTGAAGAGTGATAAACAATAAATAAAAAGAAATGTGTTTACTTCCCCAGAAATAAAATTTTATTTTATTTTTACAGGCAAAAATACAGCATACAAATAGTATTATCCTGGAAGAAAAAAAATATCATCTGAGAACCTTGAAATAATAGAAAAAAGGGTGATGAGTCAGTGGGACAGAGTTCTATTCAAGAGGAGCTTTGATTTTTATTTACTTGTTCTTTTGGTTTGTGTTTTTTTTTTTTTTTTTTTTTTTTTGCCAGAAATTCGAATGATGAAAGCTGGAATTTTTCTCAAGATTGTCAGAGAGGGCCAGGATTAGCTACATAATTATGTGGGGAAACAGGATGTTGTTGTTGAATTCGTGCTTGAGGATCAGCTAGGCTGCAAAGGTGGAGTCTCTCATCTGATCCAGAAGGGGTGGAAGAGTCTGCACATGATTCTGTGCACCTGGGAATGTTTTGTGCGTTGAGGGGAGAGGTGGGGTCAGCAGGAGAAGGTCCTGCAGGTGGTGCTGCAAGGCGTCGGCTGGCCGCAGGGGGGCCGGCAGCAGGGGGACTGCACAGACACAGGCTGGCAGCAGGTGGTGGCCCAGCAGCAGGGTCTGCAGACCACAGCCGTGCACGACGTGGGGCAGCAGGTGATGGGGCGGCAGCAGCCTTCCTGCAGGGAGCAGGGGTCGCAGCACACCGGGCGGCGGCAGGGCTCGCAGATGGGACGCGTGCAACGGGGC